GCATCCAAACTGCCTCTGGGGCCCACTTCGCCCTGGGAGTACAGTGGCTGAAGTATGAAGATGACCAATCGTCTATACCTAGTGCTGATTTAAAGAACATGTGGAACTCTACCTCCTCTCCTCCATACATTTTCATATGATGGTACATGTGCATAGGAACAATGTACTTGGTATCTTGGGAGTTATTACAGTATCTGTAATTTTGACATCAATAATTTGGCAACCAGTGCTGTAATAATTTATAAAATATAAAACTGCATACATTCTGTATATTTTTATATTATGGCAGGTACCTGTACTGGACAAATAGCTACCATCTCAAACCAACAATTGAACGATCATTATTAGATGGTACTAAAAGGGAAGTTATAATAACTAAGGACCTTTTTCAACCTATGGGCATAGCTGTAGATGAGTTAGAAGGCAAGATATACTGGAGTGATGATCAGGCTGGCATCTATTACAATATAAAGCGAGCAGATCTTGATGGCAGTAATAGTGAGACCATCATACATGGCACACACCATGAACCATTCTTTCTGACTATTCATTTACACAACATCTATTGGTCTGATTTGATATACAATGCTATATGGAGTATGCCCAAAAAACCTACTAAAGGTGAACAACCTACAAAGATATACCAATACAAAGATGGCAGGTAAGATAATGATGGGACTGTTTTGCTGTTAAAGATTACATATTTAACTGAGTTATTTAGGGAATTCACTTTATATATATATATATATATATATATATTGGTAAAATGTATCATTTCTCTGTGACTTTCTATCAGATAATTTCTTAATCACATTTTTAACACTATCCTGATTTTCTATCAGAATGTTTTCCCATCACTTCTTACTTCATTCTATTAAACAATTAATTTTTGAAAATGTACTCATATATAATGTTGAACAATAATTTTGATACAGTATTTTGAGCTTTCTGTTTTGTCTATGAAACATCTTGTCGTCACTTTACAGGACACCACAGGGAATTGTTGCTTGGTCTGATGGCAGAATAGTGGATTGCGAAGTTGAACGAACGGTAACAGTCCCAGCTGAGTTTCCAAACACGAGTGAAGGTTTTATGAGTGATGGACCAATAGGAATTGGAGCATCTGAGTCGTCAGTGAAGGAAACGGCAGCAAGTTCAGACTATTGTCTTAACTCTGGTCTGTTACTTGCAGAAGAAAGAAGGAATGCAATATGCCAGTGTCCTCAGGGGTATAGCGGGGAACGTTGTGAAGTGTCATTATGCCACAATTATTGCTTAAACAATGGTATATGTGAAATAGATAATAATAGCTTACCAGTGTGCATTTGTGTACATGGCACAAATGGATCACGTTGCGAACAGCATGTATGCAACAGCTATTGCCTTAATAGTGGCGCGTGTGAAGTGGACAATAGAGGACAGCCCTCGTGCAGATGCAGAGGTAATTTCAGTGGTGTTCATTGTGAGGTAATGGATGCAGGGCATATGTGTCGGTCACAATGTCAACAGTTTGGACAACTGTATGTTCCTATAGATGGAGGAAACACACCAATGTGTATGTAAGTATACTTACAGAGCTGAACTAAATGTAGGATTCAGCTTATTTTGGTTAATGTAAGAAAGCACTAGGCTTCCATGTTTGCACACGTATGTGTAAACATGCATGAGCATACACACACACAGCTTTTGCCGTAGGAATGACAATGGGCAGGTTCTATTCAAGGATTTTGGGTCTGACTTGTATCTGCTAGGTATCCAGTTTGAATCCAGCCAGGTATTAATAACAGATATTTTTACTGACATGTTTAATTTGTAAAGTGAACATAATGTATCACATTGGTGAACATGTGCTGAGGATGGCGTAAGTGGCCAAAATGTGTGTACAGTACGCGACTGTAATCTTGAGACTTGCAAGGAATGCAGGAAGTCCGAAGTGTTAAAGGCAGACGCTATCTTTCCTCCTTCACCCCACTTCCTCACCCTGCAAGTCTTACAGTCGTGGACTATATGTAATAAAGAATTTAATGTTAAGTGGTAGCAGATGAAAGTATTAATTATAATTTTAACATTAAATGATCTAAGTCTGAATTAAATACTCTAGTTTGAGTGACTTAAATGCCAATTTACTCCATTTGATTTGTATGCTAATTTGCTAGATGTCACTTATTTCTCTTCAGAGTATGTTTGGTCACAATATTCATCCTTTTTTCAGTTTAACACTTGGAAAAGTACTGCTACAAATTCTAGTTAAAGCTCTCCAGTGATTTAAATAAAAGTATCTGTGGCCTGAAAATACCTTAAAATATAAAGAATTGTAGGAGGCAAAGCAGAACATGTGTAATATTTTCTTTTGACCTAGAGAAAAAATGAAGTTTGAAGGTGTTTCAGAACACAGTGCTGCGTAGAATACTTGGACATAAGAGAGAGGAAATAAAGGAACAGGAGGATAGCAAAACTGCACAATGAGGATCTTCATAATTTGTATGCCTCACTAAATATTATAAAGGTGATTAAATCAAGGTGAATGAAATTGGCAGGACATGTAGCATGTGTGAGAAATTCTTACATTATAGTGAAAAAACCTTAAAAGAAGTAGCCTCTTGGAAGGCATGTGAGAGGATAATATTAAAATGGTTCTTAACATGTGAGAGGATAATATTAAAATGGCTCTTAAAGTAATAGTGCATGTGCTTGCACATGTGTGTACACACCTGATCTATATGGCGCAGAATAGGGAGTAGTGGTGAGCTTTTACAAACAGTGTCACAAACCTTTGGGTTGCTTGAAAACTGGGGAAATAGCTTTGAAAAGCTTTGCAATTATTAACTCTTGACTTAGCTCCATGCAATTAGTGCAGTAGTTTTATTACTGCTCACTGTGTCTGGTTTACACATTTCCTTTCGCAGTGTGAAATATTAATTACGAAATAAATCACTAATGCTTAATATTTTACACAGAATTGAAACAACAGTGCTTCTGTATTTGATATTTTTGTACAGGTGTCCTTCAACAGTGGGCACAGGCCAGTATGATTTGCTGCCACTGGAGAACAATTCATCTTCAACAAACAACACTCTGTCAAGTGCAGAGCTGAATCAGTTATGTATGCATGATAAAACTGCTGCTAGCTGGGTGTCAGCTGTACTGGGTTGTACGTGTGCATTACTGCTGGTTGCAATAGTCGTATTACTCAGGAAGGTATTCATTCTACGTAAGAGGCCTCGCATTAAGAAGCGGATCATTGTCAACAAGAATGTGACACCTTTAACCAGCTGTCCCCCTGTATCTCCAGACCAGTGTGAGATCACAATAGAAAACTGCTGTAACATGAATATTTGTGAGACAGTAAGTATATATTCTGCTTACCACATAAATAACTGTAATTTTAAGTGTCTGATAGTTTTAGTCTCTTTATAGCCAGCTTTGAACCCAAGGACTTAGGCATTGTGTTCTCAACCCATGGTCCACGGGCTGCATGTGGCGCAGTGTAGTCTTTTATGCAACCCACATGCCTATTTAGTAATATTGTATCACTCTGTATGATGAAGAACAGTTATTGCCTAAAAAATTAAATATTTAATTTTAAGTTAGTAATTAATAAAAATAAATCAATAAACTTGTTAAAATTATTGAGTAATATGTTAACCTATTTGCGTTACTGAACTTCGTTAGCAGCATATATTATAAATAACCATCAAGATTCGACTAATTGGCCTCATTTATAACTCGGTGGCCTACAAGTTGATAAGAAGGGTTCATGGTGTCACAGAAAACAGCTTTTATAGAAGCACTGAGGTTGCTAGAAATTATTATACGAATTTATTCTGGAAGTCAGGAAGGGGCAGAATACTAATTGTGATATCTGCTGTATGGTATTACTATGATAATACATAATCATGAAAATAAGTTATTGTAAAAAATTAACTTAAAAGAATAATAAAAATTATGGCTGCCATAATTAATGTGTTAATAATATTAGATGATTATTTTTAATTAAACAATTGCTTTATTGATTTACTGAGCTATCCTTCGTTTTCAGTTTCTGTCTCTTATTGCATGTTTATAATTTACTAATAATTTGGGTTTTAGTGAGTATATTAACTACTTAATTTACTAATAATGAGGAAGTTTGCTGATTAATTTTGAATAGGTTTTTCATTAAAATAATATTTGGCAGCCATAATAAAATAAATATGATACTATAGTATAGCTTTTCTCTTGTGGTATAAAACACATTCTAGAAATACAATTAAATCCACAAATTTGTTTTCTAATAATTTTAAAGTTAAAAAGGAAGGACAGTTGGTGGGGGGAGGCAGCGACACTGGGCATTCTGGCTCACTTCTCTGGTTATACTGGACCCTTACAGATGAATTACTTCTCTGAGTTGTTCTTCCATTTGTAGATTGGTTCAATGAACTTTAGCTTTTAAATGTTCGTACTGACTGATTATTCCGTTCACATAATTTAAGTCTGGCTACTGAATCGTATGGCTACAGTGATTGCAATTTTTTTGTTTTGTATATAGTTTCATTAATTTTGTAAGAGTTCTTGCTGTTCCTTCTTATAATCCCATTTGTTGTGTAAGACTGTTCAGGCCAAGCTTTGATTTTATCCAACTTTTCTTCTGCTGTTACTTGACAATGACATTTTGGCTTCCTGCCTTTTGATACACCAGTCGTTATTTTCATTACAATGCAGAACAACACAGTATTTATGAATTCCCTATGTAAGTAGGCTTTATTCTAGTGAATGATGGTTTGCTACAAATTATGCCTTGCTCCTATTGAAGTAACAGTGACTGGGAATGGTGTCAGCATGTCTTAACTGTATTCTTTCAAGTAAACACTGATGATTTTATGCAGCATTGGCTTCTTATGTGTTGTAGGAATGTTTAACCAAACTAACAACTGGGTCATGTTTCCTCATACTAACCATGATTCTGGAATATTAAAATCCAAAAGCCATGTACCTTTGGTTTCATATACCTGTTGTTACCTAATGTTGTGTGCAACATTTGGTGCAGATTGGCCCAGCCGTTTCAAATCCTCGGGGAAATCCACGAGCAAAATAATGAAACATGCTAGGTGATGGATGGACAAATGGACTACATATGTTAAATCAGTGTGGTATGTTCTGATTAAATTTTACAAAGATATTTGAACATATCAGACAGATATAAATTTAATAAACATGATCCGTTTTTTATTTGATTTGGTTGTTTTACTTAGGGTGGTTAGTACAAGTAAAAATATCAGAGGAATGTGTTTTATATTTTGGGAAAGAGGGCGCAGCAGTGTTCTAGGTGTAGCTGATTATAATACCAAATACCACACTTTATCGTATGTAAGATTTGAGGTTTTCACAGCGGTGAGTATGAAGATTGCTGTCTTCTGGGTTGTAGCACTGTGTAGTCTGGTAGATGTTTACCAACGTTTCAGAGGTCATTCTGCCTCCATCATCAGGGCGTTGAGTATGAAGATTTCTGTCTTCTGGGTTGTTGCGCTGTGTAGTCTGGTCGATGTTAACCAGCGTTTCAGAGGTCATACTGCCTCCGTCATGTATGACCCCTGAAACGTTGGTTAACATCGACCAGACTACACAGCGCAACAACCCAGAAGACAGAAATCTTCATCGCCCTGATGATGGAGGCAGTATGACCTCTGAAACGCTGGTTAACATCGACCAGACTACACAGCGCAACAACCCAGAAGACAGAAATCTTCATCGCCCTGATGATGGAGGCAGTATGACCTCTGAAACGCTGGTTAACATCGACCAGACTACACAGCGCAACAACCCAGAAGACAGAAATCTTCATCGCCCTGATGATGGAGGCAGTATGACCTCTGAAACGCTGGTTAACATCGACCAGACTACACAGCGCAACAACCCAGAAGACAGAAATCTTCATCGCCCTGATGATGGAGGCAGTATGACCTCTGAAACGCTGGTTAACATCGACCAGACTACACAGCGCAACAACCCAGAAGACAGAAATCTTCATCGCCCTGATGATGGAGGCAGTATGACCTCTGAAACGCTGGTTAACATCGACCAGACTACACAGCGCAACAACCCAGAAGACAGAAATCTTCATCGCCCTGATGATGGAGGCAGTATGACCTCTGAAACGCTGGTTAACATCGACCAGACTACACAGCGCAACAACCCAGAAGACAGAAATCTTCATCGCCCTGATGATGGAGGCAGTATGACCTCTGAAACGCTGGTTAACATCGACCAGACTACACAGCGCAACAACCCAGAAGACAGAAATCTTCATCGCCCTGATGATGGAGGCAGTATGACCTCTGAAACGCTGGTTAACATCGACCAGACTACACAGCGCAACAACCCAGAAGACAGAAATCTTCATCGCCCTGATGATGGAGGCAGTATGACCTCTGAAACGCTGGTTAACATCGACCAGACTACACAGCGCAACAACCCAGAAGACAGAAATCTTCATCGCCCTGATGATGGAGGCAGTATGACCTCTGAAACGCTGGTTAACATCGACCAGACTACACAGCGCAACAACCCAGAAGACAGAAATCTTCATCGCCCTGATGATGGAGGCAGTATGACCTCTGAAACGCTGGTTAACATCGACCAGACTACACAGCGCAACAACCCAGAAGACAGAAATCTTCATCGCCCTGATGATGGAGGCAGTATGACCTCTGAAACGCTGGTTAACATCGACCAGACTACACAGCGCAACAACCCAGAAGACAGAAATCTTCATCGCCCTGATGATGGAGGCAGTATGACCTCTGAAACGCTGGTTAACATCGACCAGACTACACAGCGCAACAACCCAGAAGACAGAAATCTTCATCGCCCTGATGATGGAGGCAGTATGACCTCTGAAACGCTGGTTAACATCGACCAGACTACACAGCGCAACAACCCAGAAGACAGAAATCTTCATCGCCCTGATGATGGAGGCAGTATGACCTCTGAAACGCTGGTTAACATCGACCAGACTACACAGCGCAACAACCCAGAAGACAGAAATCTTCATCGCCCTGATGATGGAGGCAGTATGACCTCTGAAACGCTGGTTAACATCGACCAGACTACACAGCGCAACAACCCAGAAGACAGAAATCTTCATCGCCCTGATGATGGAGGCAGTATGACCTCTGAAACGCTGGTTAACATCGACCAGACTACACAGCGCAACAACCCAGAAGACAGAAATCTTCATCGCCCTGATGATGGAGGCAGTATGACCTCTGAAACGCTGGTTAACATCGACCAGACTACACAGCGCAACAACCCAGAAGACAGAAATCTTCCCTCTAAATCTTTATCCTTTGTAAGTCTTGTTTTTGCATATTTTGGATAGCTGGGGCCTTATGTTTGGGCTATATTAACATTTTATATCAAGAAGGCTGGGGAGGGGTGTGTGAAACATTTTAACTTTGACACTGAGGAAAGTAAGTCCCATTTTGCCTGTTATTAATTAAATGGTGCTCCTTGTGAGGGAAGTATGCATACTTTGCAGAGATACTAATGGTAGTAAGGAATTAAAAGACATAAACATAGAATGAAATTTATAAGTCTAAACTTTCCTTCCTAAAAAGTAACAAATTTGGTTAAAGTGCACATATTGTTTTCTGATTTAGTGTTTGACAATAATTAGCATAAACATGTTACTTCATTTGAAGAAAATGTACAGGAGATAAAATGTTTTGTTATAAAGATTACAAATTGTGTATTGTTTATCTTCAAAGGACATAAAAACATGCCTAAAACATAATTGAGCCTTCATGGCTGTGGTCTAAATTGTCTAATTTAGTTCAAAGTAAATTTCATTGTTAAATATTCATACATCTGAGGATTCTTTCTACAGAAGTGCTTGAAATGTTTATCCATAGAAAAGTTATGAAAATGGCTGTCTTCTGGAGTGTTGCACTGTGTAGTCTGATATTGACTGACAATTCAGAGGAGCATACTGCCTCCACTCGTCATCCTGATGAAGGAGATGGTACACTCCTCTGAAACACTGATTTATGACATTTTCAGATGACACATTGACAAATATGAAGAAACTGTTAGGTATGTAGTATTGAAAAATATACCAAAAGTGATAAAAGCAACTGAATGAAGATAAAATACAAAATAAATGTTGGTGTATTATGTTATTTTTATTTATGAATCAGAAACTTTACAGACTGCCTACACAAATGCACCATTACTGGATGTAATAAAATTTACAGTAATTCCAGTTTATTCATGTTTATACCTGCTGAAATCATTTTCAGTGTTTCTGAAATGTTATTTTATGCTTAAATTATGATTAGGTAATTTTGAAACGAAACTTGTATATGTCCTTTTGTTCAAAATGAAATTGTCATTGGATTAGTTAGCAGCTTTGTTACTTTCTCTCTGTAATTCATGATATTTAATATCTCAAGAGATTATTTGACTTTGTTTGAAATTTTAATGTATAAATTTAGAAATGGAAAGGCAGAATATAATAGCCTTTGTGTCCTGGATGTTACCGAACTTGTCATTACAATATTTTGATCAACTCTTTAATTGGTGCACATCCAAAACTGCATGCAGAGAAAGGTAATTGGCATTGAGTATCAATATATGAACTCACAATAGAAATGCATTCCTCTCGTATGGCTTCAGGGACATCATAAGGCATTTATTTTAACAAAGTGGAAGGTGCACAATATTTTAAATATATTCAGTAATTGACCTGGAATAACTGAGATACATTATTTTAAATCCTAATGTGGCCTGTTGCCATCCTGGTAAATGTGTGATATTAAAATTAAGGGGTATCACTGAACAGAGAAAAGTTTGAAGTTTGGTTAAACATTCTGGTTAAAACATTCTCAATCTTACTGAACTAATTTCAGGTAGTAATTTTTACATAAATTGTAGACATCTGAGATAGTATTATGGTACTTTAAATATTTTAATGAGTAAGTGAGGGGAAAAAAACAGTACTTCATCAGTCTTTGTTAAATTTTATCATAATTCTTAGTGCATATATTCCTTTTCAGCCATGTTTTGAACCACAGCTGCGGACTTCAAAATCATCAAGGACAGAAGAAAAAAAGACATTACTTGGGAGCATGGAAGAAGCACCGACTAGTTCTCCATATCAAAATGAGCTCTATTAGGGTTTGAAAAATGGATGATCTATATTGTTGTTATTTTATATTGTTGTTGAACATTTAAAAATACCTGTGTTTATTAATATTTTTGAAATATCAGCTTTCCACGATGATAAGCAACGAATATTGGACCACCATTCCACTCACAGAGCCATGACGCTGAATTTCCTAAAGAAGAGGTACGTATGATGATGCAGTTGCTGAAGGCCTGCATTGTTAAAAATATTAAACAAGCATGATACAGAATATAATATTATATACAGGATGTGTTGTGACTTTATTTCCAAACTTGATCAACTTTTTCTGGAGGTCATTCCCAATCAGAGGTATCATGTGAATGTGGGTTCTGTTTTCACCAGTTATGGAGATATGAATAAAAACTCAAGATGATTGAAACTGACATAAATCATGATTACAGTTGTACTTCCAGCATAGTGGGAAACTCCTACATTTCAGTAGACACATGATGGAGTACCTGAATAAGCAGTTGCCTGGCCAGTGGATTTGCCAATGTGATCTGCAGAATTGGCCAACATGGTCACTGGACATCACTATGCTAGATTTCCATGTATGGAATTACATGAAAAACATTGTGTGTGAACACAAAGTAAATAGAATAGGGGAACTGCATCATCAAATTTTCAATGCTCAGACACTTTAATGATCCCGATGTTCCTCTTAAGGTAATTCTGAATTTCAAATATCCATGACATTTCTGATTGGTAGTTCTGTCTATACTGTTATTCCATCTAAACATTTTTAATTTCTGTACTGAACAACTTCATTGGTATTTTTAACATGAAAATTATTTTATTTTATTCATGTTATGGATATAATTAAGTTTAAGGAAAATTATGTGTCACAAATGCAGATCAATTTTGCATCTTGCTTGTTCACTTCCTAGTTTGCTCTGTTGTGGCTTGTGCACAATATGCTTAGTATCATAGAATGAAAGGTTTTATTGTCCGTCCCATAGGTTACATTTAATCTGACTCATGACATTTTATTCATAACAATAGAATGAGAACAACTGTGGTTAAGAAGTTGCTGTAATATGATTATATTTCGAAATTTGAGGACCATTACTTCTTTGTACTAGTTATTCATCTTCTCTGTTTTCCGTATAAAATGTTGTCAAATGTTGGGTCAGTGAAATTCACAATGAGAATAATAGTCAATGAAATTTATAAGAAATATTTACTTTTCTCATTTGCTATTAGTTCCTGAAAGCCTCAAACCATACATTTGACTGGCATACTGTACTCAGATACATGTTGCACAAACAAACTTAAATTCTGAATGAGTCAGTTAAATGGTTAAAGTATGTGGAAGGACTATGTTTGTTGTGAAGATTTATGGTGTGGAAATTCACTGAATGCCTCCATTGTTTCTGATTTCTCTGGTATTGCAACATCTAAGTAAGAAATAGATTTTATTGTGCTTGGTAAAGAACCTGAAGGACAGTTTATTCATATTGGTTTTGCATTCATTTGTTTCATCTGAATGTCTTCTAAACTCATTTAGCCATCAATTATACAGGAACTTAACCTTTCTATGTGTGGGCACTGTTGGGTGCTGTTCTACCTAGTTGGTCAGTTGTGGAAGTAGTAAAATTGTAGCAACACTTTAGAGGGAAGTTTGTATACCTGTGTTGCAGGAGATACCAAAAAAATATTTATCATTGGCTTCAGATATATTTTACACACCTAAACAGATTTTAGCTCACATGCTGTAGCTATTGTGTAGGTGTACAGAACACTTTCAAGATGAATGATTTCTCTGAGTTATTCCATGTGTTGATTGATTTAGTAGACTGTTATTAAATATCCCTGACTGAATATAACAGCTACAGAAATTATGTCTGACTACTGAATTATGTGGAGACAGCATGCTCCTTAAAATGTTGGTAGTCTTTGACTAGACTTTTCATGCAACAAGCCAGAAGACAGCCTTCTTAGTACAACACTGATTGTACGTGAATATTTCACTTGCTCTTATCACCAGTCCTAACATATCAGGGTAACTTTATTCACTTTTGCAGTTGATTGAATTGGACCAGTGACGACCAACACAGTGATCACACATAGTGTAAAGAGTGCCTCAGCATAGCATGCTAACATTCTCCCTGGATTAATAAAACTCATTTTAATACAGAACTAAAATTATCCTCACTTGACTTTCTTATTTTATAAAGATATATCACTGCATATGTTGTTTAGCATTGAATGATGTGAGCACATTCAGTGAACTTCACTGGAACAGGAAGAAAGCATTTGTGACCTATATCAAAATGTCATCCTCATGGTGTCTGGGAGAGACTGGGAAGAAATGAGGCTGAAATTTGAATTAGGCATATCCTGAAACATGTCAGAAGCATTACCTCCAGAATAAACTTGCACAGTCTTTGGCTTCCATGGCAGCATTCTGTTAATAAATATAAAGGATAAAGTTTATGGTTTGAGACCACTGTTATTTTAAATTATTTATGAAGATATAAGTGTATTATATTTAGTTATAAGGACTGTTTTTGGTAATTTCCTTTATTGTTGTGGCTTGTGATCATCATCTACTGTTCTTATGTCTCGATGTTTTATCGGTAACAGCTTTTGTTACTACATCGTGAATGTTGCTGTAAGATATCTTTTTTTGCTTGAAACAACATATCTTGCAAGCTTTGTTCACAAGAAAGAGTAATTCTTGCAACGCTTAAGAAGGCTTGTGTTTCACAAAATGTTATTTCACAACTGCAGTATCGAACTTCTTTAATAATCATGTGTTTTCTACTTATGTAGGGTATCTTTGTTAAGACATGGTGAAAAATGTTTGCTCAACCAACCCTCATAGTTGAAACATTTTTGGAGATGGTGGTTCAATCGTTCTACTGAGTTCTGCATCTTTCAAAATTCTTGTGTAATTTAGAGTTTACAATTTAACTTCCTGAATAGAACATGTGTTATCTGTACACATAAACATGAAGTATACAACATCAAAAATTGGACTTTGAAAAAAGAATTTGAATTTCTACTACTGAAATAGATAAACAAGTTCTTCCTAAATATAATTAGAGGTGTATGTCTGTTAAAATGTCTACCTCATCATTTTGTGTGATTGATGGAGAAATTGTTTCTAAAATAGCAGTCTTCTGGGCTGTAGTGCTGTGTAGTCAGGGAAAGTTTACCAACATTTCAGAGGTCCTGGCTGCCTCCATCATCAGAATGGTGAGTTAGATTGTTTGTAGATTTCCACAAAGATTTTATGACATTAGTGGAGGGTCCAACTGGCCTTTTTATTACCTGTGTAAAGAACCACTGAAATTTGTTGTGTATCACAACCCATATCACAAACTGATTAATGAGTAAAGACATTCATGAGAACATGCATCATGAGAAAAAATGAGAATTAAAAGACTTTATGGATTAAGAGCCCAGAGACACAAATAGGCCCTTTTTAATTCTTTGTCCATGTAGTGGACATCTTAATTTTCCCCTTTATATTAGTTTATGCCTCCTAGGGGAAGGTGGAGCTTACTGGGTAGTTTATCACAAGCTGCATACATTACATGATTATGATTAGTCAAAATTTCAGTGATTTCTTGATTTTGAAACTTGCAAGTATCTGCATTCTCTCTGTTTTGTAGATATTAGGATTTTGTTCCATTGTATTACTACCCTTGTTATGTCACAGAAACTTAAGATTTACGAAATTTATTTATTTTTTCTTGTATTATTCACATTCCATTTGAATGGAATATCAGTGGAATGTTTAAGTGTTCATTTCACTGTAGGCAGGAACAGAGGTCAGAAATGTACGTGACAAATTAAGAGCCCAAAGAGACAAGTGCATATACAGTACAGTGTATTTTTTGTCTGCATAGCTTTAGCAATATATTTTATGTATGAAAATGTTATTGTTAGAAATGTGAATGACACAGGAGTACACTGAACTGACACTGCCCTTATATCTGTTATATTAATTTTAATTTTACTGGCCATATTAACATTGTAATAATTCCCGCTGAAGTATTGGGACTTCAGACTGTGGGCTCTGTTAAGTTTTATGGTCAGATTCCATTGCCTTTCAGACTTAAGCTAAAAGTATGGCAAGTAGAAAGCAAATTTAAATTAGATTTCAATTTATTTTCAAAAATGTTGTTTAAAATATATATTACTAAATCTCCATCTTTGTTTATAAGACATATATTTAGACTTTCTTGAATGGACAAGCGATGTGGCAGCTTTTAGAAGCCAAATGTAGAAACGAGCATACTCACCAGTTGCTTTCAAGAGTTTATCAGTAATAAAGAGATAAATTCAGTTATCTAATATTTGGTCATGCCTATCTTTTGTTTTTCAATCACTGGTACTGAATATTTAACATAGTAAATACTTTTCCCCACTTTATCAAACATTTCTGTCAAAATGACTGGCCATTATTACTAATGAGAATTTCATTGTAGCTAATATTAAATACTTTTAAAATTTAAATACTTTCCAGATGGTTCATTACTATGTTCACAAAGCATACAACCATTCTCTGCCATGAGCCGGATGAATCAACTCTACACCCCAAACCCATCTGTACTGAGATCCATTTTAATATTATCCTCCCCTCTGTGCCTAGGTCTTTTGAGTGGTCTCTTCCCTTCAGGCTTTCCAACCAAGCTTTGTACATGTGTATCATCTTGGCGATGTGTGCTATGTACTGCACCCATCTATTACTTCATTTGATCACCATAATAATAACTGATGAATAGTACAAACTGTGGGGTGCTTTATTATGCCAACTGTTCCAAATACTGAATTTATTTTAGGATACAATTCAGCTGAGAGTTTAGTATAAAGTGGAATAGTTTCTGAAAGTAATGAAGGTTTTGTTTTGGTAAGACCAAATGAGGGATGTTGAATATATTTAATTTGAATGACTGTGTATTTAAAAGAAACAGCCATTATTGATTTAAATGGAGAGGTAAATTATTTGGAGGACTGGTGTATCAAAACAAAAGAAAAGAGCATTGTTCGGGGAACAGAATCTAAAGATGGCTGTCATCTAAGTTGTTGCGCCATGTAGTCTGGTAGTTTCATGTGTAAACAAGTCTGCTAAGTGTAAAACAATGTGACTAGGTCTTGCTGGTTCCCATCAGAAATAAGAATACTGTTTGTTCATAAAAGCTCATAATTTATGCAAGGTGTTTATGGTTTAAATTAATATCCTCCATCTCTTCCCTTGATGAATGCACTGAGTTTTGTTAAACTTCTAATTGTATAATATTCTGACAAAACTTTGATAAAGCAGTATTAAATATATGCAGATTAGACATTTTTATCTGTGTGATTGTATAATTTTTCTTTGGTAATTTTACTTTTAAGGAGTAAATCTTGATTTATATTTCTGTTAAAATTAGATCTCATAGATTTTAATTGATCTGTTTCTTGAAGAGACAGATACAAGTGTGAATGTGTGAATGAGAAGTTCCATCCTGATTAATTAATAATTAAATTGTTGGTATTGATTTAAGTGACTTATAGAACATTCAGGCAGCTATGCAATATGGCACTTTAATTTCTTGATTAGTAAACATGAATTTTGTATCTTTTGACATGATGCACAGCAGGAAGTATATACTGAAGAATGTTCATATTTGTTGTACGTTAGATGGGTTTTTGATTTTTGTTACTTAATAGATTATCTCTGCAAGTTTCAATCTCTTCTGTTAAAATGTAACTTGCAACTGAAGATTCATAGTGGGAATATATAAATTTTTAATATACTTTGTATTGGTGTAGACATATTCCTCCAAATGAGTTGAAAAGTAACTCATTTCCAGTCACATTGAATACTGTAAATTGCTTTTGACAACACGAACTGTAAGATAGTTTCATATATATATGTATATTTTTTAAATGTAACATTCACATGTGCCTCTGAGAATGTTATAAATATAACCGCAACAATGATTAGTCACATTCAGATTATCAAGTGTGTTTTGACACATTTATGATTTATTATTGTTTTGGTTGCTGTTACAAATACTTGGTAGGAAGATAAATCAGAAATGTCTTCAAAATAATGGATACTCCCTTAGATAATCTGAAAACTGAAATAGAAATGTTAACTCTGAAGTTGATAATGATGTTGATGATGATAGAAAATATGTGCATCATATGTGTTAAAGATGTGCTGCATGTGTAGATTATACTTTGTATTTGTAGATAATTAAATGCTTTTTGTCTGATCACTATTAATGAGCCATAGGTCATGAATAAATTACTGTGTCATCTTGAATAAAAGTACATTATATGATAGTAATGTACTTAAAATCAAAATAAACAGACTTTTCTAACCTAACCTATAACTTAAAATATGCCAGACAGTATCTGTGTTTAGGTTAGGTTTCATGTTATAATATTTACAGTCAAAACTGTATAAACTGCAGTGAATCAGTTTTCTGACAGTCTGTCATGGAGCTGCAGTAATCTAATTCTATCACAACAAATCATGTCACTCAAAACTATTTATTCACCGATTTCCAGTTTGCTGAGCAATTGTTCTTCTTGCAAGTACATTGTACACAATTATAAAATAAAGTAAGGATATGGAGATCTCGCTTTACTTGGGAGAGTCACTGAAATAGTCCAGTATAGATTATAAAGATATGATGAAATTAATATATTCAAAGTAACAAAGATGTGACAATTGCCTGTGTAGATCATTTTCATGTATCGGATTTTGTTTCCAATAAGAATGTTGTTAATTTATTTTTAGTTTCTGTGCTTTGCTGAAACTATTAATATTGGATGTACTTTTTTCAAGATACAAGGTGTGTTTGTGTGTTCCATGTACTAGTGCTTTCATATATGATGTGTGTACAGGAAAATAGAGAGGGGGAAGTTAAAGAATGGCAAAATCAAGTTGGATCAC